CGTCCGATACGGCTCCGGTACGAGCGAGGGAGGCACTCTGCACATGCTCAGGGGGCGGGGCGTCCTCAGTTACTCCGCCCGCCCGCCCGCCGTCGAGGGTCTGAACCCAGGCGTTCCTTGGTTTGGGAGGAGTGCGGGGTTTTTTTTTCTACTACAAAGCCCAGTATCCCCTAGGAAGCAGGCCGGGAGTGGTGGTGGTGGTGGACTCTGGGCCCTATAGTCCAGGAAGCTCTGCCCTGGGGGGTAACCACCGACACCCGGAGGTGTGGGGGGGGACTGCGGAGGGTGGGAGGGAAATGTCACTCTGCACATGCCCAGAGGGGAAGCGGGATTCCTCCCCATGCATCAGGATCAAGAGTCTGAGAATATTCCTCTTGTTTCTGGACTACAGTGCCCAGAATCCCCCAGGCCATCCGCATGCTACTCCTGTGACCAGGGAATGGGGGGGGTTGCCAGTGGGTTACCTGCGGTCAGAAAGAGGCAGGCGGACCTTCCTTTCCTTTATTTACTACAATGCCTAGGATCCCCCAGCCCGCGTGATGGGAGGGGGACTATGGGAATGGTCGTCTAGCAAGCTCTCTGCTCTGATTCAGGACCACCCCCTACCTCGGGTGCGACCCGCCCTCCTCTGGCACAACCACAGCAAAGGGAAGACGGCTCTCCTCTGTGGGGGCAGGAGGGACCGATCCGGCGCGGTCGCCCGGGCTCAGCCCAGCCTCTGTGTTTGTTGTCTCTCCCCCACCCCCCACCCCCCGCAGGCAGTGGGCAGCAGTCGGTGACGGGGGTGACGGCCGTGGACGACGGCAACAGCTACTGGCGCGTCCGAGGCAAAACGTCCACCGTGTGTGAGCGAGGGACCCCCGTGAAGTGCGGCCAGGCCATCCGGCTGACCCACGTCAACACGGGGCGCAACCTCCACAGCCACCACTTCACCTCGCCCCTCTCCGGCAACCAGGTGAGGTGTGGGAGGGGGCCTGGGAGGAAGGAAGGGAGCAGTGTGCTTGGCTTTCCTTCCTGTTGATTGTCACAACAGCCCTTCGAGGTAGGTCAGGCCGAGGGAAGAGAGAAAACGCCAGGCCCAGAGCCGCTTGGCCACCCTCACCAAGCCAGGGAGGCTGGAAAGGAGGTTGCCCCTGTTCTCAGAGCGACAACGTCACCCTGGCCTTGTGTCCCCTCCTCTTCCCTCCCTCCTCCTCCTCTCTCTCTCTCTCTCTCTTCCCCCCCCCAGGAGGTGAGTGCTTTCGGGGAGGACGGCGAGGGGGACGTCTTGGACGACTGGACGGTCCTGTGTGGCGGGCAGTACTGGGACCGCAGTGCCGAGGTGCGGTTCAAGCACTCCTCGACGGACGTCCTCCTCTCGGTGACGGGCGAGCAGTACGGGCGGCCCATCCACGGCCAGCGGGAAGTGCACGGCCTGTCTTACTCCAGCCAGGACTGCTACTGGAAGGCCATGGAAGGGATCTTCATGAAGCCCTCGGAGCCGCTGGGGAAGCCGGAGGAGACCCGCCACGCTGAACTGTGATGCTCTTCCTTCCTTCCTTCCTAAGGCTGGGCCTTTCGGGCAGGCCGGCCCCACCTGGACCTCCCGGATGATCCCCAGAGGAGGGCAAGCGCCGCTTGGGCCACAGAGATACAAGGACACTCCTGCTGTCCTGGGATAATGGGCGCTCTGGGCCCCACCGTGTGCCTCCAACAACACCACCACAGTGTTTTCACTGCATCACAGTGTTTCCCCTTTGGTCCTGCCCCCTTTTCCCCACGCCCCTTCTATTGCTGATATTCAAGCATATGGGTGCCTGGGGAGGAGCCACAAATAAACAACGGTTGTTAAGCATATGCAGTGGGTTTTCGGGCGCCTTTTTTCCTTCCTCCTGCGCTCTGGGTGGGAACAGGATTCTCTCTGCTTTTCTTTCACAGGGTGAGCGTTTCTTCTGCTTGCCATTCAGGTGGGCGTTCCTTGTTTTGCTGCTCTCGAAGGACAAGGCATTAAGAAAATAAAGTCCCACAGGCTCTCCCGTCTGAAGATTCTTGGGGTGTGTGTGTGTGTGTGTCCGTGAAGGATGATAGTAATCGTTCCTCACTCATGAAGAACACACACAGCAAATACTGCAAATGCTCTTCCATGTTCTTCCAAGCACTTTGGGGTGTGGCCAGCATAGCAGCTGGCTAAAACGTCCTCTTCACTTCACAGCTGGATCCGGCCCACCTCCCTGGCCTCCTTGTTGGTGGTCCTCAGCGATGTGTTGAGGACTGGGAGCCTCAGGCCCTCTGAAGATGCTCCAGAGCCACATGGCCAGGCCGTTGCCTACCTCTTGCGTGGTTTGTTTCCCTGTCCTAAAAGGTTGAAAAGGCCTCCTTTTGGCTTAGTGAACCAGGTTAGGCTAAAGTGGGGTGTATTTTTGGCCCCACACTTGTCCCTCTGGTGCATCCTTCTTTCTTGCCTCCCCCAGAGAGGGGGGGCAGAAGAGAAAAAGGCAAACCCACAGGTCTGTGGACGTTGCAGCCGCCCGCCTGCAGAGCTGTGGGTTCCCCTGTGGGGTGGTCAAGGGTCCCCTCGCTGGAGAGAGCCAGCAGAAGGCCGGTGGGGTTTGGCCGCCCATGTCCTGAAGCCCACAAAGTTCCTCGTCGTCATGGCTTGTCGTCCTCCAGTCCTTGGGAGGGAGGGGAGGGCACCTAATCTCCGGACCTGCCTGGAGAAAGCGAAGGGCCCCCCCAGAGAGAAACACGGGAAAATCAGCAGCCAACGTCGCCGGCCTTCTCTTATTTGCAAAGCCAAAGGGTGCTGCTTCTAGGCCGCCCCACAGGGCTTCAAGCGCTCTCTGGGCGGTTTACGAGGGAAGGATGGAGGCGAGACATTGCAGCCCCCCTTAATCCCGGTGGTTGCCTTCTGGAGAGAGACAGCAATCTGTGCTCCAGGAAACCAAAGGGGGTCCCCGCGGGGCCTTTGAAAGAGGAACAACGAGCAGAGAGCATCCTTTTTTCTTTTAAAAGAGGAACTTGGTCACGTTCTTGTCGAGAGGGAGAGAAAGAGTGGGGGGG